CACACACACACACACACACACACACACACACACACACACACCATCAATCCTCCTGTCCCAGCTTTCCAAGTTCGGGGGAAGGGAGGTTACAGATGTAAGGAACCTCACCAGGGTCAGGGTCAGTTGTTTTTAAAAAACAACCCGTACTAGGATCAGCCAAAATGTTTTTAAACAAACTACTTTCTGATCGAGCTCAGAACTTAATGCCTGTTAATCTTTGTTCTCGAAGTCAGCTGTGTTTCCAGGGAAAGACTTCTGGGGTGTTTCCATTGTAACGCAGTACTGGGAGATGGATGTCATAGTGGGGACGAGGCAGCTCCAAGGCTCAGCAAACATCCAGAAATCCCCCCATTCTATAGTGGGCTAAAAAGAGAAGACAGAATCTGGGAATTCCTGTGCTCCCAGGTGGCTTTGGAGGCCCTGTCCTCATACAGGTAGCACAACCAGCTAGACAGTGGCTGGCCGTGAGAACGACCTGCTGTTCCCACCCAAAAAGGTAGCTTCTTGTACCTTGTTTTTCTCTCATGTGTGATTCTGCTGGAAAAACACCCAGAGCCATGGGTCAGATGGCCCCAGCCCAGGCAGCACCTGCATTGAGAGGGCCGGAAGTCAAGCTGAGCGGAGGAGGAACCATTCTGTGCTTAGACCAGGGCCCCGAGGGACCTGGCTGGATTCCCCCAGTGGGCAATGGGGCATGTGCCCACCCACCAAGGGCGGTCCACCACAGCCTCTGAGCTGCAAGTCTGCAGCAGGGAAGCTGGCTGGTCCAGGCCACATTAAGAAGGGAGTGCTTCCGACCTTGTTATAAATTAGTTTTATAAAGCCCTTTAAAACAGCTAATGGCGTCCAGGGCTCTGTCCCCCAGTCCCTACTTCCTTCCTTCAGTTTTATTGCTGCCCAGCGGAGGAGGCAGTGGTGCAGCAGAGGGGAGATGGATCTTTGAATCACAGGTCCTGGTCCTAACTCTTGGTCAGTTTTGCTGACCTTGCTGGGCTTTGAGTAATGGAACTAAGATTTACCCTGCCTCTCAACCACACAGGGGCTGGAGAGGTGGCTCAGTGGTTAAGAGTACTCATCCAACCGTCCTGAGTTCAATTCCCAGCACCCACATGGTGGTTCACAACTGTCTGTACCTCCAGTTCTAGGGAACCCGATACCTCCCACTTAAGCCATGTGGATGAAGAGGTGCTCTTAAGAGGTGATTAGTATTTATCTGTTGTGCTTTGGAATAGCTTTTGGCTCATGTTCTGTTTCCCGGTTTATACAAACTAGACATGTTTTAGAATTCATATAGAAGGTTACAAAGTTCCCATGTTTATAAATAGAAAAGTAAACAAACTTAATTATTTTATGTGACATTAAAAATACAAAACC